CTTAGTAGCGTGCTACTATGATACGTTCGTGATATTTTTTAGTTAACAACAATACAAACTTTGTTACCAAAGTCGATAGGGGTCATGTGGGTGTGTTGTCAGGAGGCGCCATCCGTATGATAGTTGCATTGATGCTTACTGCTTCTTGCGGTATTGCGTCTTGTGATGGATCTGCGGGTGTGCTGCGCCTGATTCGACGCAGTCTTGTGGTTCTGGTCGATGGAGGTATGCGGGGGGTGATGTCTTCTGGGATGTATGGGGAACCTTGGGATGGTGTAAGCCAGACGATAGTCGTGTTGATGCTTGTTGTGTTCTGCAGCATTGCGTCTCTGCGATGGTTGTTTGGTGGGACGCTATTCTCAATGGCGCTCTCTGCGTCTAGGTTTGACTCACACCTAAGTAGCTTTGCCCATGTCGGGTCCCTTCATTACGGGGCTGCAGACTGTCTGCCCTCCACGATGTTTTATATAACAACATAATAGTATATCTCTGTAACTTTCCCACCTTTAAGTGATTGAAGGCAACTTGTTAGTGGGTGAGACAAACATGATCGAAAATGCATTTACTCAACGTCAGTGACACAAAACCTTTCTGATGGCAAATTATTACTAACATCTTATAAGTGCCTTTTGGCTATATCTGCCGTTGTATTGGTTGGTGGAGCATATGTGTTGACCTCATGCGGGTGGTAGCTGGCGGGAGGATCTGAGGAGACTCTCAAGGCTGCGGCCGAAAGCCGCACAACGTGGGACCTCATTCCCTTGAGGTGAGCGGTAGATTCATGACACGCTCTGCGGCTAGTAGCCGTGCTGATCATGCAATTGGTGGGGATGCCATACAATTACATCACGTCCGCAGGAGCGGCGGTCTGGCAGGTGGTGGCACTCACGGAGGGTTTACGGCCAGAGTGCCTAATTGCCTAAACCGTGTGACGTACATTAACTGTGGCTGGATTCGTTCGTATTCTGTATGGCTTTTACACGCATTGACATGCGCGACTTCGGTCGACGTTTGTGCTTACGCACTAACAAGAAGCCAAGCCTCTTTTTACTGGGTCGCCAGTTATTTTGCTGTGGACTACGGTCCAGTTCCCGAATTAGCGTTCCCTTCGGAGGGAGTGCATCAAAATGGTTGGCGCTCACCGCGCACGGCGTGTGTGGAGTCGTGTGCCTCCCCCTACATTTTTTTTTAAATAAATGTAGTAGAGCGAAGCCCTTGTATCGGGTATTTTGTATAAACATATTGTGAGCCTTTTCCAAGCGGGAAGGGATAATTAATAATAAATTAATAATGTGAACCTGATACAAGTGGAATAGGGATGTTTTACATTCTTAACCTTTCTCGAGCCCTGTCTTCGTGAACGGGGTTCATTTAGCTTATAAGGCACTACCAACAGCTTTCAATTACTCTAGTGAATATTCATTCTTCCAAAATACACCTAAAAGTACTAAGTTACTAAACAAACACAACGTTATAAGGGTCCTAACTAAGACGATCACGCCAAAATATTACAAAAAGCCTATTGTAAACCTTTTGAAAGATCGTTTAGAAAGATCAAAACATATTTATTTATCCTGGTCACAAATATATAACTTTATTGAAAAGGGGTAAATTAATAATATATAATATATTTAATATATTTATATATATAGAGGTGGGAGCGGGAGTCTGTCTGTGTACTAACATTGTCACAGTAGTTAAGTTAACTTGTAAGTTAGAGAATAAAAGTAATAGTTGCCGTTCTATAAATTATAAAATCCCTGGATAGTATGAAAAAACCGCTAGGTATCTCAGCTTACAGAACAAAAGGCAGATAGCACCGTGCGGAACTCGGAGGTGAGGCCAGTTATTTGATAAGTGTGCGTGTCGGCACTGTAGGAAAACGCGCCTTAGTGTGTAAAATTGTGGTGCAAAATTTTTTATTCAGCGTTCACTTTGTATTCTGTTTGAGTGCCTCACGCCCTCGTTGCGAGCGCTCTATCTGCCTTTGGTTCTGTAATCTGAGCTAGATATGAGGTAATCAGGTGAAAATAAAAAATACATAGATGTAGGTATAAATGTATTTTATTTTAATTACTGGACGAGACTACATAATTCTAAGTGATTTGCCTACGACCATTTTAATTTTTTATCAGATAAATTTACTAAATAATTTACTAAATAATAAACCAAAGCTGATAATTCTTCTGGTATGAATGATGAGATTGAAAGAAAAAAGGCAGAATTTAGACGTCTAAATAAGAGAGTGAAAGAAGTTGTTGAAAGGAAAAAGAAAGAAAGAACGGATAAGAATGATAGAAGGATATCTGATAATTTCCAGGCTAACATAAAAATGTTCTGGAAACTCGTAAGAACTGCCAGGGGAAATACAAAACAGCCTATAATAAATGCTATAAGAGACGAGAATGGATGTATTCTGAATGATGAAGTTTCGAATTTAAACAGATGGAAGGAATACTTTGAAAGCGTGTTTATGAGTGAAGAGTCGTATGAATTAAATGAACTAGAAATTCCGAAAGAAGTGGAAAGGGGTATGGAGATAAGTGTAGATGAAATAATGAAAGCAATGAAAAGCATGAAAGCAGGTAAGGCAGCTGGATATGATAGAGTATCACTCGAGATGCTAAGGGCTGGAGAGGGAGTGGTGGCAGGCCTGCTGTACACCTTGTTTAATTTATGTTGGGAATTAAAACGGGTACCGGATGACTGGTGTAAAGCAGTTATAGTACCAATATATAAAGAAAAAAGGACTGCAAAAATACCGCGGTATCAGCTTGCTTAGTATTGTGGGTAAACTGTATGCTAAGGTGTTAATTGAAAGAGTTACGAAAGAAACTGATGGAAAAATTTGGGATGTGCAAGCGGGTTTTAGAAAGGGAATGGGGTGTACAGATCAAGTCTTTTCCATGCGCGTGATTGCGGAGAAGTTTTTGGCCAAAAACCAGAAAGTTTTTTGTGCGTTCATGGACTTGGAAAAGGCTTATGACAGAGTGGACAGGAATGTGTTATGGCAAACACTGAACTCATATGGGTTGAGCGCTGGTTTGATACAGGCATTAAGGTCTCTTTATAGGGACTCTAGTGCCTGTGTCAGGATCAATGGGGTCTACTCGGACCGGTTTGGCATCCAAAAAGGTGTCAGACAGGGCTGTGTGGCTTCCCCTTGGCTGTTCAACCTATTTATGGACCGGTGTTTGCAAACTTTGAAAGATGAAGAATGTGGGTTAAGAATGGGCGAGTTAACCGTCAAATGCCTTTTGTATGCCGATGATCAAGTCATACTTGCGTCATCGGCGGCAGAGTTGCAAATGATGGTTACATTAATGAACTGGGAATTAAAAGAAAGGGGAATGAAAGTGAACGCAAGTAAGACGAAAGTGATGGTTTTTGAAAGAGAAGAAAGCAAAACGGTATGTGAAATAAGAATAGAAGGAGAGTTGATTGAGCAAGTGGATGAGTTTGTGTATTTGGGATGTGTATTTAGCAGGGATGGTAGATATGATAGGGATATAGAACGACGAGTAAATGCAGGGAATAGAGTGAATGGGGCACTACACTCTATTATGAAGAACCAGAATTTGTCAAAACAGGCACGTATGGTAATTCATAATGCTGTGTTAGTCCCTACTTTAATGTATGGTAGTGAAAGCTGGGTGTGGCAGAAGAAGCACGAAAGTAGAATAAATGCTGTAGAAATGCGGTCTTTAAGGAATATGCTAGGGTGTAATCTGAATGACAGGGTGAGAAATTGCGTGATAAGAGATAAATGTGGTATGCAAGATGATGTTGTGACCAGGATTAAGAAAGGAATGCTTCGGTGGTTTGGTCACGTAGAAAGAATGAATGAGGAAAGAGTGACAAAGCAAATTTATATGGCAGATGTGAATGGCCAAGTCGGGAAGGGACGCCCTAGGAAAAAGTTTATCGACCAAATTGGCGATATTTTGAAAATGGGCCACGTTAGAAGTACCCTTAACCGACGAGCATGTATGCGTAGATATATGGATGTAAAGGAGGCGAAAGAGGTATGTCAGGATCGTGCCAAATGGAAGTCCGTAGTCTCTGCCTACCCCTCTGGGTGACAGGCGTGAGTGTTTATATATATTTTATATAAATTTACTCCACGTCCAACATCGGAGACTGTCTGTAAGTATTTTTTAATAATTATTTTGCCACGGTAGTATACAATTTGTAACAAAATGTCGAGCTAAATGTAGGTGAATAGATTTAGGTTGGTCAGCTGCTCTTCTAGGAACTGCGCGGATTGGCAAAAACCACGACATTTCTTCATTTCTCCACGATCCTGGTTCAAAATTTCCATTTTCTGTTTCTCTGTCAATAGATCCTGGCGGCATATAAATTTGTGAAGATTGACTTTATCTCCGCAGGAAATTATGCATGTGTACAATTGCTAGAACAATTTTGGTAGCGATTTCTGGTTCTAACAACATTGGCTTTCGCAATAATCTAAATAGAAGAATGCATATTCCCGAATACATTTTCTACCACTTTTCTTACTTTTGACAGTCAATTAATAAAAAAAATCACAAGACCCATAAGTGGGATTTCCTCCAAACGGTTTCATAGTATAATCATTCAACGCAAATGCTTTTTCGGCTAATATCATGTAAGGAACTTTAATTGCATAAGGTATTTGTATAATGCTAGGCTCTGGTAAACACAATTCCTTTTTTTTTTCAAAATTTTTGTATATAGTAGTATTTTTAAATACTCCTCCATCTGAAATTCGAACTTGACAAACAACATTAAAATAAATAAAATTATAATTTTGCGTCAAACAAGCCAAGCAAAACAATGCTGAAAAATTCTTTATAATTTATATATTCTGTACCGCTATTAATTGGAGCTTGAAGAACTATATGTTTACCATCCATCGATGCTATGCAATGGGGAAAATTCCCAATCTTGCGCAAGTTGCAGCCACTTCTCTTCACATGATGGTAACTGTAAAAATAAAGAATTTAATTATCTGATTATAGGCAATATCAACGGCGGCTGACTCGCCAATAACTGATTTATCAACAACAGAATCAGCAGAAACAGGTGAGATAACTGATTTATCAACAACACAATCAGCAGAAACAGATAAGACATCAGATTTGCCTACTAACACAGAGATAGACGAAAATAGTAACTTTACTGCAAACTTGGACCAGTCAGCCAAGAATGCTGCAAAAAATAAAAAGACAAGGGCAACAAAAAGAACGGCAGATGCCTCATCTGTAATAATTATAAATAATACCACAGATGACATGTTATTACAGGAAGCTATGGAAGTACGTCATACAAAAGATGATGCCCACGATACCTTTGGAAAACATGTGGCGTCTGAACTCCACACGCCCACGCGTTAGCATGCGTGAAGAAATGTATAATGGACACCATTTTTGAAGCAGACATGGGACGAATTCCACGACAAAGCAATTATGTATATTTCACTCAACAGTACGCAGGCATACAATATCTAAACGAATCATCTTCTTCGTCCGTTTACGCATCAACATATATTCCCACACCCAGCCCGCAAGCCCCCACATCCAGCCCGCAAGCCCCCACACCCAGCACGCTAGCTCCCACAATCCCACATTCCATTCAATTCCTAACAATATGACAGATAATGATTTTACTGAATAACCTTGCCAGTACCCGGTACCTATTGTTAGCGCTAGACATAATTTTTAACAATTAAAAACATTTAAATTTAATTTCAGACCGTTTTACTTACATAGTCCTTTAGCACTTCCGATTATTGCTTCTGTATTTTGTGGTATAATTTTAGAAATTGACTGCTTTGATATTCTAAACAAATATTGTAGACTAGTATACGAGTCGCCTGTTGCTAAATATCGCAGTGTTACAACTAGTCTCTCCCTTGCTGAAATAGCACAACGAAAGTTCGTATCTTTTTTTCTATCAAAGGTGTAATCATTGATAGTAGCAACTTAAAGTCACTTCATTTCAGTCACACATTTACACGCATGAGCACTTCATGCGTGTAAATGTGTAAATAAAAAAAAATATTCTGACTGTGGTAATGCATCCATGCATTTGATACCAACATTTATTAAAAAAATGTTGATTACAGAATACAATTTTTATGTGCCGGTTTGCACGTGTTTGCCAACACCATCTCTTTCAAAATATTTGGCATGAATTACCAGAACAATCATCTACAATATCAAGTTTTACTATCAATCAATTAGAAGATATAATTGATATTGCAAAACGAAACACAGTTACATTTGATTTTGAACGTGTAGAAGAAATGCCCAACCACATATGTCATTATTGGACTGGTCTCGAAGTGACCGAATTTATTATTTTATTTAATGAGTTACCTTTATTTAATCAGGTACCGTCACCAAAAACTGCTCTGGCTGTCTTTTTAATTAAAATGAGAACAGGTGACAGTAAGAAGAGGTTATCCTCTTTATTTAATATACCTCGATCAATAATGGAGAGGCACATGAACATTGTACGCTCATGTTTTATAGAACATTTTGTGCCATTGCATATTGGGTTGCAACATCTTACTAGACAAGATATCATAAGAAGATGTCTTAGTATTCCAAATGCTTTTTTGGTAATCCAAATGACTCAGATCAAACAAGACCTGCAATCACAATATGTGATGGCACTTACATATATATTGAAAAGAGTTCCAATTATTTTTAACGAAAGGAAACTTATAGTTTACATAAATATTTGAACCTGGTCAAACCATTTCTTTGTGTGTACAGACGGGCATATTTTGAATAAAACTAAATTTACGGATTTTATCGCATTTATTTCATTACTTTTACTTATTTTTAATTCCCGACGTTTCGGGTGCTTTACAGCAACCAAGGTCACGGGGGGGGACTGAGATGTTTGACGTCCCAATGTCATTGTTAGCCCGGCTACCTTCAGTTTTTGAATATTAATTTTTGGTCAGATTTACGCAAAACGAACTTACAGTATCTTGAAGTCTTGCAGTGGTATGCTTGGGTTTGGGTTTAATTTTGTTAATTATAGGATCCCAAGCAGATGGCAGCACCCAACCATCTTCTCTATTGAAATTAGGATGTTTTTTAATTTCAATAGCCTCGCGTATAATCCTTGGTAGGAATCGGTGTTCTATTGCGAGGATTTGTGGTTTATCAAATCTGATGTAATGGTGGGGACGATCTTGAACATGTTCACAGACTGCAGACTTCCCGGAGCGACGGTGCTTCACGTCAGCTATATGTTCTTTCACGTGAGTTTTTATGGATCTTTTTGTTTGACCTATGTAGGAGAGACCACATTCACAATCTAACTTGTACACTCCTGAATCTTGTAGAGGGATATAACACTTGACGGATGGTAAAAATTGACTAACTGCATCTTGTAGAGGGATATTACACTTGACGGATGGTAAAAATTGACTAATCTTCTTCGGCGGCTTGTAGTATGTTTTAATGGAAGCTCGCTTCGAGATGTAGCCAACCTTATCTGTGACTCTTCTGACATATGGTAGTACAGCAGGTACACGCTCGACTGTAGCCGGCTTCACTCGGTCACTGTGACGTAGGCGCGGGACCCGAAGCTTGTTGTCTTGCAATACTTGCTTGACGTGCTTTCTGTCACAGATCTCTCGTGCTCTTTGAAACAAAGATTTACCCACGGTAGCTAACTGTGAAGGATGATGGTGAGATTCACCATTTAAATATCGGTTGGTATGTGTCTTTTTCCTATACACAGTGTGACCAATTGTGTTATTAGGATTTCGAATGACTAAAACATCTAAGAAAGCTAAATAATTATTTGCCTCTAACTCCATTGTGAATTGTATTTTAGAGTTTATAGAGTTAAGGTGGTTTAAAAATGCAGTTACTTTGTCAGATGGTAAAATTGTGAAAGTGTGGTCTACGTACCGCTTGTAGAATCTTGGACTTATAGGAGCAGTAAGAAGGGCTTTCTCCTCGAAGTCCTCCATGAATATGTCGGCGACTATGGGAGATACAGGTGAGCCCATCCCCACACCATCTACTTGCTTGTGGAACTCTTCCTTCCACAATAGATAGCCAGATGTGGGGCAGTGTTTGAGTAATACTGCATATTCAGCAGGCATGTTATTATATTCTAGCTTTCTAGTTACAATTGATATGCAGTCTTCAGTAGGTAGGCATGTGAATAGTGACTGAACATCAAAACTGACCATAGTTTCATTGTCAGCGATATGTAGGTCTTTTATCTTTTATCTATTACATCTCGCTGACAATGAAACTATGGTCAGTTAGCGAATTCACGTCGAGATATAATTTTTCGGAGTATATCTTTATTAAATCGCTAGTTGCTTTAACCTTTTGAGCGCCACGCCAAAAACTCACTACCGTGTCCTGTACGCCAAAGCGAAAAGTAAACAAAAATACCTACGAAAAAAACAGTGCTGGCAAGAGTTGATATATCGATAACACAAAATAACTTGTTTTTGTTGGTTTTTTATACAATAAATGAGTCTTTATAATCGGGTATGTTTTATTTAATCTTGTGCTGTCTTCCACTCTTTTTATATATGTACTTTGTACATAAATAAAAAACAAACAATAACAATAAAATAGTAGTAAACCACAACACTACTCTCCGTCGTAATGACGTCACTGTCACGACTGGACGACAACGGCGTAGCTGACCTTTCTTTTTGAAACTTTCTTACAGATGTAGCCGTGTCGCACGTTGTGTATCGATTTCAAAATCGATGTAACCAAAATATACAGACATCTATTCAACATATTTTATGGCAAGGCGTAGGCCAAGTGAATCACAGAAGAAAAGTCTTACGCTCTTATGATAAAGGGAGTTTCATATGATACTGATGTTGCTAAATGATTTTGAGATTGAGAAAGAAAATCGCACAACACAAAATGAAAATTGCTCTTCATACCTTAAGTAAAGAAAACACATTTATTATTTGTAATTTTATATTATTAAAATAGAAAAGGTACGTAATTATTCACTAATCAACAACTGTATATAGGTAATTATTCGCACTAGAAAAATCAGTCTTATAATATTAAAATCTTGGTCAAAAGAAAGAAAAAAGAAATCAACAAAGGGTACATAATTATTCAACAAGTGTAAATAATTATTTGCACTAGGTCTAGTCATAAAATATTAAAATCTTGGTCTTTAACTCAATCAGTACTTAATATAGAAAACAACAATTAAAAATAATTAATAAATTATAGGTAATATTAGTCTTAAAATAATAAAAATCTTATGGAATAATAAAACATAAATGTTTAGCTGGCCAAAGCAAATTTTCTAACGTGGTAGAGCCATGCTGCAGTTATATTACGGGAGTTAGTAGTTGTAGCACGAATGGGTCGGCTCAACCGGGGAAGAACCACGCTCTCACGGAATATCGGCATCAAATAGTAGCTTAATGCTGCTGTGTTTCGTATGGTAAGTGTAGAGAACCGGAGACCCTCTTTACTGGAAACGAGGCATTCCATCTAAGTCCTCACGGGTGAGAGCGCATCTGCATTTTGATTCGTAATCGAGGATAGATGTAAATGTCTATGGGCCACAGCAACCACTTACCATCAGGTGGACTGTGTGCACGTTTATTACCCTATGCTATAAAAAATAAATTAACCGTAAAAAGACTATAAAGTGTATTCCTACCTCATTGAGGTAGAGTTAATCGAAAACGAAAAACTTTGGTTTCACGATAATTTTAAATTTCCGAAAATTCATCATCGTCGACGCTTTCCAAAATCCGAATGAGTTCTGAGGAATCGTTCATGTTGCACTGCACTAATTTTCCCGCTAATCGCTTATGACGTCATCAGTGTGTCGTCTATACTTGACCACGGCGCCCAGTGAACTGATTTTCGATGTCGCGCTAAGGATGCGCCAGAGTTGAGATATTAGATTTATTATGCGAAGATAATTTGTTAATATTTTTTTTAATTCATGTAGCTAATTATAGTTTTATATTTCTAACCTTTTGTTTTATTTAAATATCAATAATAATAGAAAAAAATAACACGCTTGAGCTTAATTTTGAATAGTTTTCAATAAATTTATGGCTAACGCATTACAACACTAGCGGTCTAACATAGACGACTTTGGCGTGCTGGACATAGTATTTGCTTAGATAAAAATCCATTTTTTTTTAGTTCAATGTTTCTTAGTACTTGTGGCTCTAGAAGACTTGTTTTTTATACTCACATGTTGCTGGGTTATTCTTTTTTTGAGGGGTGTAGAATTAAAATACCAGTAATAATTTTCCAATTTCTATATTTCATATTTTTGTGGGCCGGGTTTTTTGTCATCTATAGACGTCGTTGGCGCTCAGGGCACGCGGGTGCTGGTCACGTATAGACGACTTTGGCGCTCAAAAGGTTAAGCGTGTTAGTTGTGGGGTCTGTTTTGACCTTTTTATATGTACTTTCGTCCGATAAAAGCTGTAGTATTTTAAAACTATACTCTGACGTGTCCATTATTACCGTAGCGTTTCCTTTATCCGCGCGGAGAATCGTTAGCTCTGGTCTGTTCCGTAAGTTAATCAAGGCTGTAAATTCGTCTTTAGGAAGGTTTGGTTTCGGCACTGCACTACGACTAATACCATCATGTAGCAAACCATCAAGGTTGTATGGGTTACCGAAGATCCACAATGCAAACGCTCCACTACGTCCTATAGTGAGCCAGATCGATTCACCAACTTATAAGCTGGCACAACACTTGGCAAAAATTGACAGTATTTTTGAGTGAGAGGACATACCAGAGCACACACAAAGGATTCATACCATTTTGTTAGTGAGATAAAAGACCTACATCTCGCTGACAATGAAACTATGGTCAGTTTTGAAGTTCAGTCACTATTCACATGCCTACTTATTGAAGACT